AGGTTAGATTCGCTGCTATGTCTGCCAATACTTATCTATAGTTAACATTAATGTGTTCATCACTGGTTCTTTTATTTCTATGCTTGCGTTTGTGAATCATACTTGTAGGAAGATGCTTTATGGTTGATATTATTAGGAGATGTCTTAGACTTCATCAATTACTAGAGTGGAAGAATCCAGATGCCTCACGAATTAGGGATACGGGAAAGGAGTATTCTAATTGTAAGCTACTAGAGGAAAATTAGAAATGCGGGATTTGTATGTGCATTCCATGGGGAAAAAAAACTAAATGCTTACCTATATTTTGGTCTACATTACTTAGGTTGTTACTGCTTAGGATCCTTTTGAAGGAAAATAAGCCTTTAACGTTGTCCCAGTGAACTTTCCTCAAAGAAACACATGCTACTTTTCTGAAGCATTTCCATATTTCCTTAGTTGGCAGGGGCTCGGAACCATGCCCTCCATTGAGGCAATGCGTCTCTTTGTGAAAATTCTGGAGGTAACCGACAGAGAGGTCTATGGTTATTTTTTTTCAAAAGACTTAACTGGAGCATAACCTTGCTTTCTTCTCTATTGCTCAATTTCTACCAGGAAGATGATCCGGGTTGGTATTCGAGGGCATCTAATGATATTCCAGATCCTGTCGTAGATGTCCAAATTAATGTAAGTTTTTGTATCCCATGGGATTCGATGCCCAAACCATGGGAAACATTACACATATCTTTTGCTTGGTTGAAGAAAAGTATTTGAGTCTTTTAGTGCATTCATTCTCTGTAGCAGAGAACGAAAGATGAGCCTGTTGTTGAGAATGGGAACTCATTTGGTGAGACAAAGACAATTTCTACTGAGAATGGACGTTTGGCTGAAACCCAGGATAAAGATGTAGTCTCAGAAGACTCAAATACTGTTTCTGTATATAACCAGTGGACTGCACCCCAAACATCAGGTCAGCGGCCTAAAGCCCGTTACGAGGTAATTCATTTTCTCTCTCTTTTGCAAAATACGTAAAAGGTCATGTCATTCACGTATCTTCTGTATTTTTTTTAAGTCTTGTTTATTATATTTGTTTCAGCATGGAGCAGCAGTTATTCAAGATAAGATGTATATATATGGTGGAAATCACAATGGCCGTTACCTTGGTGATCTTCATGTAAGCAACTTATATGATTCTTAAGCATAAGCTGCTTACATAATTGAGATATTCAGCTTCTAGCTTGGAAATACCAGTCCCGTTGACAGTTCCTAAGCATGTCTTCTGTGGAATGTATACAGGTTCTAGATTTAAAAAATTGGACTTGGTCAAGAGTTGAAACCAAGGTTGCAACTGATGCACAGGAAACATCAACTCCAACATTATTAGCTCCTTGTGCTGGTCATTCTTTGGTAAGTTTATTAACTTTTGCGTTTTGTTTTGGTTATTCTCGTTTTGCTTTCCTGCCTAGAAATATTCAGGAGAGGGGTTTCAGCTAAAGCAAAGTATTCTCTTCATGAAAGTCACTTGCTAAATTAGTTTGTAACAAAGAAGACTCTAGCTATACATTATTCACTTACCTTCTTTGCTTGTTTTGTAGATAGCATGGGACAACAAGCTGCTTTCTATCGGTGGTCATACAAAGGATCCCTCAGAATCTATGCAAGGTTAGCGTTTATATACCTTTGAAGACGATTATTTGCCCATATCTTAGAAGATTTTTCTGGAATCTCAATGATTACATATCACTTTCTACTGTTTCCTGTCACAGTGAAGGTCTTTGATCCCCATACCAGTACATGGTCAATGTTACAGACATATGGAAAACCACCGGTATATCTTCACTTCTGTCATGTTGTCTCAATTGTTTTCCTGTTACCTTTGTATGGAAATATTCCAGTTTTATAAACAATTAATTTTTTGGCCGTCAAAAGACAAAAAAAGAAAAGTTTTTTTTCTTTCCTTACCCTCTCATAATATCTTCATGGTTAGGTTGCATCTAAATCCATAATTCCTTGCTAATTTGGAAGTCAAATATGCAGTTTGGTTACTTAAATTGAGACTTTCTTATCATTATCTCTTGTTTTCAGGTTTCACGTGGAGGCCAGTCAGTTACATTGGTGGGTAAAACCTTGGTGATATTTGGCGGGCAAGATGCAAAGAGATCACTTCTGAACGATTTGCATATACTTGACCTAGACACGATGACCTGGGATGAGATAGATGCTGTGTAAGATTTTATGATGTTTCTGCATTTTGTTCTCTTTCGAAGAAGTCAAACCCATTTAAGATTAGATATATAACCAGAATATGAATATGTTAGAAATCGACCACCTATCTCCTTTAGTATCTTAGTCGTTATTGAAAGATTAGCAATTCAGGATTGAAACTGGTGTCAAATTGCAGGGGTGTATCTCCATCTCCGAGGTCTGATCATGCTGCTGCAGTGCATGCAGAACGTTACCTTCTTATCTTTGGTGGGGGATCACATGCAACCTGTTTCGATGACCTGCATGTCCTTGATTTGCAGACTGTAAGTTAAGCTAAGAGTCTAATCTTTCAGATGCTCTCAAACATGCTTTGTCAGCGACTGATATAATTGTCACATATAGATGGAGTGGTCAAGACCAGCACAACAAGGTGATGCACCAACTCCAAGAGCTGGACATGCTGGCGTGACAATTGGGGAGAACTGGTTTATTGTTGGTGGCGGTGATAACAAGAGTGGTATGTTAATACACTTTTCCTTGGAACTTCTCTTCTCTTCCCAACCTTTTTGTTTATCACCCCCTTGAACCTTTTCTGGGGAAAAAAGATATTCGCTTTGCTTTTTTTTTTTGTGTGTGGTGACTGATTTTGTGATAAATTACTGCAGGGGCATCGGAGAGTGTTGTACTAAACATGTCAACTCTTTCATGGTCGGTAGTTGCTTCAGTTCAAGGACGTGTACCTCTTGCTAGCGAGGTACTTAAATAAACAGACTTTATCCATGATAACTATACAAATAGTAATTTCACCTTAACATTCCTGAAACACTGTAGCAGTATTTTCAAGAATTTTGAAAAAAATCAGTCTTGTATATTTCATTTCATCCTCCTTTCCTTTGCTACTGACAGGGATTAAGTTTAGTGGTGAGTTCATACAATGGTGAAGATGTACTAGTCGCTTTTGGTGGATACAATGGACGTTACAACAACGAAGTAGGGACTGTGATCTAAACCCATAAGTTCAGTTCTCTTGATTTTTCATTTAGTTCTGCTTCTAATTCTTATTTGGCCTTAGATTAATCTTCTTAAACCAAGCCACAAATCAACATTGCAAACAAAGACTCTGGAAGCGCCTTTGCCAGGTAGTCTTTCTGCTGTTAATAACGCCACGACCAGAGACATTGAGTCTGAGGTTGAGGTGAGCCAAGAAGGCAGAGTACGGGAAATTGTCATGGACAATGTTAACCCTGGATCAAAGGTATCTTCTTGCCAAAATTTCCCTCCTTGCATCTTATGCATATATGATGTGGTAGTGATTGTATCGACACAGAATATAGTTACCTTAGTCCGGATCATCACCTTCTCTCGCTCTTATTTTGTTTTGGGTGATGAATCCCCAGGTTGAAGGAAACAGCGAACGCATTATTGCGACTATTAAATCTGAGAAGGAAGAGCTGGAGGCATCACTGAACAAAGAGAGGATGCAGACTCTCCAACTAAGGCAAGAGTTAGGAGAAGCAGAATTACGAAACACAGATTTGTACAAGGTACTAATATTATCACCTTCTTAAAACAGAAGCCGACATGAATAAATTGGTGAACCAATTGTTCATAAAGACTGGTTGCAGCAAAGTCTTCCATTTAACATGTGGAAGTCTCGGAATTTTTCCTCTGATACGATATACCTAACTTTGTACTGACATTTTGTAGGAACTTCAATCTGTTCGTGGCCAACTTGCAGCCGAACAATCAAGGTGTTTCAAACTGGAGGTACTAAACCGTAGCCACATCTCTTTTGTACCATAACCTACAGAAGTTGGAATCTCGTGAAACCCGTGATTTAATGACTACATATACTCATATTCCAGGATGAATAGGAATCTTTGATTAGAACATACATCCATTGTAACCACCGGATCTATCACATATCTCTCTGTCATTTATTGATAAGCTTCATCACGTCATAAAAACAAAAACAGAGCAAATCTAATTGGGTCACTTTCTTTGAATCTGCAGGTTGATGTTGCAGAGCTAAGACAAAAGCTTCAAACATTGGAAACACTACAAAAGGAACTCGAACTCCTGCAGCGTCAAAAGGCAGCCTCAGAACAAGCTGCAATGAACGCTAAACGACAGAGCTCGGGTGGCGTATGGGGCTGGCTCGCTGGAAGCCCTCAGGAAAAGGATGATGATTCGCCTTGATCACTTTTGGTCCGGTATTGCCATTTTCCTCAGGTCGATCATTGCTTTCAGTAAAGAAATATATATATATATATATATATAGTATTTTTGTCTGAGTCCCTCACATTGTTTCTTCGTCCAAAAAGATATTTCCATACCAGTTTTTTTTTGAGCTTTGATTACTATCGATGTTTAGCTTTGTTCTCTGTTATACAAGTGGTTCACCAGAATATTCGTTAACTTTTTTGAAATATTTGTTTGGGGAGTGTCAGACAAAATTATTATATAATAATTTTCTTATGTTTAAAGAGTTTTGTATGCATAGAGACTCGTAAACCAACTTTGTTCAAAAAAAAAAAAAAAAAAAGAGACTCGTAAACCAAAAACGAAATCATACTCTAGTAAAATAAATTTACCTCATTTCGTAAGAGGACGAGAAAACAAGTTTTGGGCAACAAAATAAAAAGATCACGTTTTTTCGTCCCATGACGTGGCAACCTGGTACTGGATGGGAAGTTCGACCGTTCAGCACATCATTTATGACGCTGGAAAGTTACCAAAATGTCCTTCTCACCAAGTGAAGTTTTTTTGTCATCTTCTCCAGCTTTACTCTCATGAAATTTCTTAAATTTTCTCTTGCAGCAAAATAATCTCAGGTCTTCTGGCTTCGAGTTGTTTCTAGGGTTTGATGCCATTGTTATGAAAGCTCTTTAACACCGAGGGTTCAAGTGTGGTTAGAGAAATGAATTCTGCTGAGGTGAATCCTAGGGTTTTTGGCGATAGTTTCGTTACTTTTTTCTGGTAATGATGGCTCGAGGAAATTGGAAACGATTGATCAGGCTGAAGCTTTTCTTATGGAGCTTGATTCGGTTGCTACAGACACTGGAAGTGATGGTAATGGAAATGTCGATTTAGGTCCTCGAGTGTCTGACAGTGAAACAGAACCTAGGTTTTGTGAAATGAAAATAGAGAATACTGATGACCGATTTTATGAGCTCTGCAACGAAGGCGATGAGAAGACAATGGAGAAAAATCGAGTTCCGGACTACAAATCTTACTTATCCGAGTTTGACCATTATGTTGCAAGCGAGAAAATGGGTTCTGGAAATTGTAAGGCATTGTGCTATGGGTTTGAAGTGGGAGATATGGTATGGGGAAAGGTTAAGTCACATCCGTGGTGGCCAGGTCAGATATTCAATGAAGCGTTTGCGTCTCCCTCTGTTCGTCGTATGAAGAAGATGGGTTACGTTCTGGTTGCTTTCTTTGGAGATAATAGTTATGGCTGGTTTGATCCTGCTGAGCTTCTTCCTTTTGAACCTCATGTAGCAGAGAATTCGCAGCAAACTAGTTCAGGTCACTTTGCAAAAGCTGTGGAAGAAGCTATGGATGAACTAGGTAGAAGGTCAGCTCTTGGGTTGACTTGTAAGTGTCGGAATCAGTATAACTTTGGGCCTACTAATGTTCAAGGTTACTTTGCTGTAGACGTGCCTGATTATGATCTCCAAGCTGTTTACTCTTCTAAGCAGATTCAGAAAGCTAGGGATAGTTTTTCATCTGTTCAAACTCTAGCTTTCGTGAAGCGGTGTGCATTAGCACCTCAAGAGTGTGATACAGACAGCTTAAAGTCTTTCCAGAAGAAAGTAGCGGTTTGTGCATTCCGTAGGGCAGTGTTTGAGGAGTTTGATGAAACATATGAACAAGCTTTCGGGGCAAGATCTGTATACTGTTTAGTGAAGACACATGAACCATTTAATAGAGCACCCCTTCGAGGTAGATTCACCTTTCAGCGATCTTGGCATTGTTTTGAATACATTTGTAATATTTCTGCTTTCATAAACGGATTTTATGGAGTTATGTTGGACCTTTATCCTATGTATCACAGAGATGTGGTACTCTATAAATTGGTGATCGCTTTGAGTTTGTTTTTTCTGTTTCTCAAGCCATATAGGCTACATTTGAGAGTTTTGTGGTTTTGATATCCTTAAACATCCGAAAATCTTTGGGTTTCTTAAGGTTGTTATTGTTGGATTTATAGCTTTTGTATTCTTAGAATGCCTCAAAAAGGCATGGCATATCTTTGATCTTATGCTGGATTGTGAAATCAACTTCACAATGTGGAGCGTCATTTAACCTTCACTGTTTGCTTTACTTTCATTGTTTTGGGTGGTTGAAATAGATTTCATATTTCCTCATGCATTGCTTATGTTTACAGTCCCCTTGACTGGCTCATTGGTCAGTGCAGAAACTCTGGGCAACCCAAAGAGCTCTACAAAAGCTATGAATGTAAAGGATTCTACTAAACATGAAAAAAATCTTCCCAAAAGAAGAGAGGGAGCTGGTGATATGACAGTTCAATTTGGCCAGGTCCAAGAATCTTCTCAGATTCAGGGCAGCAACAGATCTTCAGCTGGGGATCATGTACTGCAGAGAAGGACTCCACATACCCAAACTCCCAGGAAACATGAGCAGACCGGGCTTGTCAGCATGAACTTCACCTCTTCAAGTGGTAATATTCCTGGAAAGAAATCCTCTGTTTCAAAGCTCTCTCGGGATGATGACAAGGGTTTCACTCATGAGAAATTTAAAGCAGTGAAATGCCTTAAACAAGAAGAGACTGGCACGAACTCTAGATCTAACGAAGGCTCTCTCCAGCCTTTTATTGGTGGGAAATTTTCTGCAGGAGTTGGGATCAAGAAAGGCAATGTCGTGAAACGGTCTTCTGGCGAAATGGAATCTGAGAATGGTCCTCCAGAGCCAAAGAAGAAGAAGAAAGAGTCTGTTTCAGAGCTGAACCGTGACACTCCAGATAAGAGGAAAGCTTTATCTTCTGGGGAATCTTGGGCCAAGAAATCATCACAAGTGGATTCAGCAAAGAGACACTCCAATAGGTTGATTGTGAGAAACTCTAAACTTGATGGTCTGCAGATGTTGAGTAATTTGCAAGCTCTCTCGCTTGACTATTTCTTTGGATCCTCAGATAGAAGTTCTATTAGAGCTGTAAGGCAGTTCTTTCTTCATTTCCGATCACATGTTTACCAGAAAAGCTTGGCCACATCTCCGTTCACTACAGTACTGTCAAAATCTGCGAAGACTTTGTGCAGAACTAATGAACCATCAAAGGCTGGGAGAAACCGCATATCGTCTGAGAATCAACAAGATGTCCCATCAACTAAGAAGCTAAAGAAAACCATTCAGTTCAAACCAATGGCTTCTGACAAGAAAACAAAGCAAGAAGCAACAAAGAGATCAACTCTTGCCACATTTAATCCAGTGAGAGACCAAGGTGGTCCAGTCCCCATCAATGCCAAACCAGCTATAGTTCAATCAGAAAAGAAGAAGGCCCCATCTGCAATGGTAGTTGAGCCAACAATGCTGGTCATGATGTTTCCTCCTGGTACATCTCTCCCTTCCACCGCTCTGCTTAAGGCGAGGTTTGGGCGCTTTGGACAGTTGGATCAATCAGCCATCAGAGTTTCCTGGAAATCCTCGATATGCCGTGTTATCTTCAAGTATAAGCTCGATGCGCAGACTGCCTTAAGATATGCATCAGGAAGCAACTCTATCTTTGGCAACGTGAATGTGACATACTTTCTCCGCGACATGAAAGCTTCTTCTGCATCCGGAGATCATGAACAGAAGAAAGCCAAGGCAGACGAACCAATCATTGAACCATTGAACCAGTGGCTAGAGAAAGCACCGCCAGTTCACCAACCAAACATCCAGCTCAAGTCGTGTTTGAAAAAACCAGGCAATAACGGTAATGGTAACCACAGAACAGTACGAGTGAAATTCATGTTGGGTGAAGAAACAGAGACACCATTTTCGGTTTCGGGTAGAAACAATGGAAATTACGCTTCTTCTTCATCATCATCTGTTGCAATGGAATATGTTAGTGAGAACACTCAAAACATGGTTCCCTCAACATTACCTCCGATTCTTCCTCTCTCTTCACAAGACTCAGAACCAAAGCCTGTTAATAATCAAGTGAACCACGTCGAGCCACCTATAAACCCGTCGCAGCTTACCGTGGACATTTCCCTGCAGATGATGGAACTGTTAACAAGGTGTAACGATGTTGTGTCTAACGTCACGTGTTTGTTGGGTTACGTCCCTTATCATTTCTTATGAAAGAGTACATTATAAAAAAAAAAACAGAAGTATGTCCTTAGGTATATTAACTACTAGTATTATATTAGTATGGTTATATACACACTCTAGAGAAGGAACCGAATCTAAACCAGAATGTGTTTATAGCTTTATTGGTTTTCCTATTTCAAAACCAAATTCAAACTGCGAAAAAAAAAAGAAGCAAAAGATAATTGAAACGAGACGCGTTTTTATTCTGCGTTTGAATCTAATTTAATAAGCCATGAAATCTGCATAAAGTAGATCTAACATTTTAGAGCATAACAATATCTTATTTTTATTTAAAATCAGATATTATCTGATCCTGGCAAATATATTTTCTTTTGTACAAGTTATATTTTTCCAACAAGATAGCCAGTTTTTGATTTTGTTGAGGATTTTTCAGTCAAGATCATACTAATAATCGTTAAAGTTCTTTAAGGAGAATTTTTTTAAGACAATAATTTCTTTTAGTTTTGATTCAGCGTGATTGTACTATATATCAGCTCATTTTCAGTTTTGTTTCAGTTTGGCTTGGCAAAAGCACTTATATAAAAAAAAAAGCTCGGTTAGATTTGTATTGTTTTAAAATCATTTTAATTTCGATTACGGGACGGTGTTTGAGACTTATCAGCCTCTACAAAATATTTCAGATTGATATCTAAACTAATGTTTTAACTTTTATTATCCTTTGAGACTCCTTAATATTTTTTTTTTTAAAAAAATACTATGTATAATTTAATCAATAAATAATACCAATGATTTTGACCCAACAAAATAATATACCAAAAGGTTCTGGATTTGGATGCAAAAATCCATAAAACGATATATATAAAAGATTCGTAGTTATACTAGGACCCTTAATCAAACAACCTTTATAATCCCGAAATCTCCTCTTTCTTTCTAAGTTACTCATCTCTTTTCTCTTCTTCTGATTCTCCATAATGGAGTATTATCAACCGGTGGAGATTAACGTTCTCTCAGCTCAAGATCTCGACTCCGTCAATCTTTTGTTCAGACCAACAGTCTATGTTTCCGTCTCGGTCACACGTGGTTCACGTGACAAGCAAGTCACTCCAGCTGCTGCATGCGGTAAGAAACTCTTACGGTGGAATTACCGTATGAAATTCTATATAGAAGATGACAAATTTCGAAGGAATGACTCAGTGTTTGTGTTTCAAATAAAGTGTAAGAGATTTTTCGGGTCTGACCAAGTCGTTGGGAAAGTTTTTGTACCGGTAAAGCAATTGCGTCACTTGAATGAAGAGAAGACGATAACCGAGCATACCAATATTAATTAAGGGTATTTAGGATGTCAAAGAATAGATTTTTCGAAGGGAAATAGCAAGATTTTGGTTTGTTTCTTTTAACTGAAGTATATATTCATTCTCCATCAGTTGTTTTTGGGTTATTTATGTAAAAAAGTGTAAACTTTCTTTTCTCGATCTTGACCAATGATCCTTTCTTTTGTTTGACTTATTTTGCAGGTCACACTTTCTTATTGATTGATCTGACTCCTTTTGCTATAGAAGAGGAGGAGCTATGGAATGGGATCCGGTACTACTTTTACTGCTTGAATTCAGATTATACTTGAGAAAACTTGCTCTTTGATTGGGTTAATTGAAAATGCATATCTTAAATATAGAAAATGTTGGTATCATGATTAATTTCTCAATAAGAAGGATAGTTTTAAATGTAGAAAATGCTATGGTTGTTTGTTTGAAACTGATCTATGCTTTTCCTTCTAATATATATAGAACAAGAATCCAGGAAGGGCTCCTATTGGAGGGAAACCGAAGAGAAAAAACCAAAAGGTGCAAGCCAAAGCAAATGTTGAATCGAAGAAAAGAGCTGAAGCGAAGATAATTAGTGACATAATTGACCAAAATAAAAGAGGTCAGATGTATTGGTTTATATATTTAATATCGTTAAGGCATATCGTAGATTTATCTGTTGGTGCTGTGGTATAAATTGAAGATAACTAGTAACATGTCACGGGTTCGACCTCCTCTGTAGCTAAGTTTTAAAATTTTTACCATTTCACTTTAATAGAGGGTAAAATAGGTATTTTAGCTTCTTCTTCTTCCTTTGGGCTGCACGCAGTCATAACCCTAAAACGTGAACATGTTTGTTTTTTCTCAATTTTTGTTAGGTTTGCAGTATATTTATACCCGAAATTTACAAATCCAGCCATATATAATCGATTTCAACTTAAATTTCACAAAAAAAATTATGTGTTTATGATGTGAATGACTTATTTTATCTGCTAATTTTGTTATAATTTAATCGAATTGTTTACAAGGCCAATGCTCAGGGGATGAGAGTTCAAGAAACTTTACATCTTTATGAAAATGTGAACGCTGACTTTATCCGAGCAAGACTGAATAGATATCCAGTTGCTTTGATAGTGCAGGTGGATGTTAAGTTTCTAAAGCTTGGACAGGTTAGTAAAGATTGCAACAGATATAGATTTGTAAAGTTATGAGTTTATAGTGAAATAGTACAGAGATTATATATACATGAACATTGGAATAAATAAAAGTAATGAAATCTTTCTATTTTTTCAGGAGGGGGTTTATCACTTGCCAAAGAAACATCCCATAACAAAAGACACTCGTTTACACTGTATGCTTCTCATTGGTTATGGAGTAACCAAGGAAGGGAAGACTTTTTTCATTGGGCAAAATTCCTATGGTAAAGGTTGGGGGTGCAAGGGTTATGCGATAATCATTATCGATAAGAAATGCGATATCGTTTGCCAAAAAGACTAGGTTGTCTTTTCCATCTTTTTTTCTTTTTCTTAAGGATGCTGAACCTTTGAATACTTGAGTCCAAGTCTCTGGTTTTTTGGTTTCTTCTGTTGTGAACAGAGAAACATAACTAAACGTGATTTGAATTTGAATGCCTTTGTATGTAATCTGCAGTACTTTGGTTTGCGAAACCTGAAATTTTCGTTTGTTTTATGCAAATCTAAGATTATCAGACTTTGAATTGTGATTCTTGTCATGACCTGCAGTATTTTGGCTTGTAATTTCTGGTTTTGCAAAATCTGCAACGTGTTTTCTTTCACTTGCTTGCAAATTGCTTTGCTTCACAATTGTTTCGTGTGAAACGTGCAAATATTATTTGCAATTGTTTCTATAATAACGTGTAGTTAGAAATCTGCAACTGGTTTTTGCTTTCACTTGTCTTAACCTTCATAACAGAAGATAGAAATGGAGTAGAGTATCAATTAACGAGATAAAACTCTATGAAGCCTCAAATCTTTAACAACTTTCAAGAGATTTTTATTTTCTTCTAATCCTTAAATCTGTTACTCTTATACATGAATATAACTGAAGATGGAACAAGCTGCGAAATTCAGAAAAATAAACACACAGTCTTCTTTAGTGTAGACAAATAGTGCAAGTTCCTAATAACTTGTCTACTAAATTCGTTAAAGCAGGCTAAACAACAATCCTTGTGAAATTCTTCAACTACTCTCTTCCATCACATCGTCTACCTCTTTCAATTGATATCCTCGGCTACCTCTTTCAATTGATCTCCTCGGCTACCTTCAACTGGCACATTGGCAGAAAAAACAGCAAAATCAGATGTTAATTGTAACTTCTAAGGCTTATCAAGCAGACCAGCACCAGTATTCTTCACCATCTGTATGCACCATTTACGAGATAACAATCAAGAGTGGTTGAGTTAAACTAACAAGTCTAGAAACCACAATGTTTTATACTCCACAAAATGAAGCTAAGCAGAACAGTCTCACAAATAAGATTCCATGTCGAGAAGACAAAACCAGAAGATGTGTCAGCCAAACCCTAGAGGAAGATATAATCAAGTAAAGTGATGGTTTCTTCACTAAATGGTGTCCCTGTTCCAGTCATTGAATATAAAAGAGTGAAGCAAGAAGAAAAAGCTAGAAAATGCAAGAAAAACTAAACAAAACATGTTGACATCAATAGCAGAGGTGAAATAGATACCCATTTTTCGTGGAGAAGTATATAATAGCATATTATAGAGTAGAGTGTGGTTTCTCACTGAATGGTGTCTCTGTTCTAGTCATTTAATGTACAAGAATGAAGCAGAGAGAAAAACCTAGAAAGTTGCAAGAAAAAAAATACAAAACTACATGTTAAAATCTGAATATGAGAGGTGAAAAGAATTACCCAGTTTTGGTGGAGAAGTGGGTCTGCAAAGGATGGGATAAGTCTTGCCCGCAGACCAATCCACCTTAGCTTGATACTCCACTAGAGGTGCATCAGGAGAATCAGACTCTCTTGCAGCAAATGTGATGTAGTATGTTGTCCTGCCCCCTGGGTTGAAATTAGCCCTCAAAACATGCTCCAACTTCACATTGAATCCCTGAAAACAAGAGACAAGAATGGCTCATCTCATATTACCTAGGACTCTGAAAGTCAAACTAGAGATGTTACCTTTCGTTTGTTATATTTGTCAAGACATAGAGATGTCATGTTTGCTAGAAACTGACGAACGGTCAAACCTTCCTCAAGGTCATCGTCCAGACCCGGGACTGTAGCAATTCCAGCCCAGAGGTAAGGTGGGAATTCGTCAGTTGCCTCAAAAAAACCCTAAAACCAAAACAAAAAAATCAAACTACAACAATGTTACTTGATTTTTTATGACCCAATTAATAAAAGACTCAAAATTCGATACGTATAGAGATGAAAAGGATGATCATACTTTGGTTTCGATGACCGTGCGCTTGTAAAAACGGGCCCTCTTCTCCAAGTCCTTGTCGATATACTCCTTCTGATCATCAGAGGAACGATATTCCAGACCATCGAAGCTATCCTTATCCCATTCGGAATCACTATCACTCTCACTATTCTCCTCCTCATCGACACCTTCTACGTCGCCTTCGTTTTCATTGAGATCCTCCAGGTTGGTGGTTTCAACCTTGCGCTTCCCCAGCATAGAAGATTCATCGCCCGTGGAAATTTCCATGGACTCCGTCGATTGGGTTTTGCTCGAAGATCCATCCTTCGTATCGCCGGCGCTTGAAGATCCATAATTGCTCTCGCCATCGCTTGATTTGGGAGCCATCTCGAGTATTGAGTAAACCCTAGATTCCCCTTTCAATTCAATTTGGGTTTTTTTTTTTCTAACAAGAAGCCAAACGCACCGATAACACAATTCAAAGTATGGCTAACAGTAATTTATCCCCTCCGTGACACTTATTTACGTTTGTGCCATCAGGGGAATGATTCCTCATCAGTTTTAAATTATTTTGTTCTCTATATATGCATACTACTAATTATTGTTTAGAAATTTTTATCCTATTATGATTCGAATATGTTAAAATGGGAGTAATCTGGAAGTTTATTATAAAATAATTGCTTCGGTAAACAAATATTCAGCATTGAAGAAAATATGTTATAATCAACTATTTATTGTTTGTTATTAATGTATTTATTACATATTTAACTTAGAAATACTAATTCTAAAGAGACTCATTATTTGAATCAGAGTAAAGCTTTATCTTTTTCTTTTAAAAATTAATTTGATAAATAAAAACTAAAGTTACGTACAAATATTTTCTCACGAAAAGTTGTCTCTCTTCCGTATTTGTTTGCGCTGTCAGTTTTGAGTTATGAGACTTAAATGAGTTATGACTGAATAGACTCATATGATGTGAGAACACTGAGCCTTTATAAAACAAAATTAAAAGCCTAAACCCTAAACGTGTAGTCTATATGAGTGGTCACTTTTGTGCTTACAAAATTTGGTTAGCTGTAGAGAAGAAAGAAAGAAAATAAAAATTGCTTAGCTGTTTCTCAATATTGGTTGGATAAAATGTTCATGGATGGAAGATAAAAATACAAAAAAAAAATATATACTAAGATGCTAGTATAAAATACAAATAACAATACTAAAATACAAAAACATAAGAGGGATACTTGAATATGTTTGAACTTTGTTTGAAGGATTTTTCTTTGTTTGAAGTCTTCTGTAGCGATGATAAACAAACAAAGAAAAATCATTTAAAAGTACCTTCGGTTTATATAATAAGATGCTAATTAATTGTATCACTCTGAGCTTTATATACATAAATAAAACTAAGCATTTTCTAAATATGTAATTTTTATTTAAAAAGTTTAATTTGTTGACTTGACAGTTTTATACTATAATAAATCCACAACACAACTGAAAATCATATTCAGCAAAGCTTCACTAATTAAAATCAAATCATTAGCATTGGACCGGCCACTACAACGAAATAAAGAAACGAAAAATTGCCAAGAATGATTACTTGTTGCTCAAAAAAAAGATAAAATGGAAAGTAGAATTGATGACATGAAAAAAAATATCTACCAGGCGCTTTTCGTTAACATTAACTGTAGATGGAACTGAACAGCTAAACTTCTCAGCAAATATATGAATCTACAGTGTCGCAATCTCTGGTGCATATAATGCCTCTGCCACAGACTTGTAAAAGAATCTGAATTGAAGAAAGATCCATCCTTCAACTCTCCGTCGCCAGATTTTGGAGCCATGTTGGTTATCGAGTAACCCTAAATTCCATATCAAGCCAGTTTGGTATTTTCATCCCCTTATCCTTAAAAGAATAGGACACGTATCCCGTATCCGTGATATATTTTACATTAATGCAATCACATACATACGTTTAACAGATAAATAAAAAAACAATCCTAGCGCTCGTTGTCAAAAGGAAAAAAAGGATCCCCTAAAAGAAATTTGGATGCGACTTTAGATTTTGGATTGGAGAGGTTCTTAAAAAAATTAGTTGATCAATTACAAGTAACATGTTAACAACAATATCTTTTTAAGCAACTATAAATTCTGTGCATAGTAAGATATATCTTACATGTAAATCTTTTTCACTTTACAAGTATAAGTTTGGATCATTTTAATAGACTAATCCAAAAAGGGGTTATCGCCCAACCAACACTACACTACTAGAGAAGCTATAATTCTCTTCCAGCTCTTCATCACCTTGGAAATGGTCGTCTCTTCCATTGCCTTACGCATTAATAAACAAAATAAACAGAAAATTAGTTGCGGATGGAAAGAATGAAGTCAAAACCAAAAACGTTGAAACGTATATATATATATATATATATATATACACTTGCCGGAGAAAAAGCTACCTGTGAAACTATACGTACCCTTGTAGGTGCGGGACTTGGCCTGCAAAGGATGGGATAAATTTTGTGGGTTACAGACCATACCGCTTTAGCTTGATACTCCACTAAAGGTGCATCTGGAGACTCGGACTCTCTTGCAGCAAACGTAATGTAAAACTTAGTCATCGACCATATGGTTTGTAATTTGCCCTCAAGATATTTAATATGTTGCTCTTTTATTTTAGTTATTAAGATATTAACATTTTAAATAAAAATAACCAATATAAAATGAAACATAAATGGGCTTAAATGGGTATCCATTTATTTGGATGAAACCCCATTTAATAAATGGGTTTAATTGAGGTAACCCATTTAACCCCATTTAATATTTTTCCTTAAATGGGTTTAAATGGATTAATTTTTTTTGTACATACCCATTTAATAAATAGGGCTTCCATGCCCAAGTTAACATCACTAGATATGATCCAGTTTTGCATTTTTTTCTCTATAAACAAGAGACAAACGATGCCATAATATTAGATATCTATAGAACTCAGAATCTGAGTAGCCAGAAAACTAGTGAAGAGGCAAAAAAATGTGAGCTATACTTACCTCCTCTTCGTTGTACCGTTGGAGACATAGAGATGTCGTCAACTTTTCGCAGACCTCACGGGTGGTAAGGCCTAACATAGCCGGCTCGTCCAGATATCCGAGCGAACCAACTCCATAATAAACGCAAGGAGGCAATTTATCTGATGTCTCAAAGAAACCCTAAACCCAATAAGACCAGACGTGATTAGCAAGATATCCTAAGACTATAAAATTGCCGAAATCTTCTGACAAGAGAAAAGATAAAACCTTGGTTTCGATGAGCTGGCGTCTATAGTGACGGCACTGCTCCTCAAACTCCTTGTCTGATACTCCCTCAGCTAAGAGGAATCATCTCCCCGGCCATCGAAGCTATCATAACCCCATTCAAGATCAATTTTGTCCTCATTCCTGTAACTCTCTCTGTCACCTTCCTCATCTAACTCGTCTTCAACACTTTCCTCGTCTAATTCGTCTTCTTCTCTGTCGCTGTTGTCTTCCACACTTTCCTCGTCAGCTGTTTGCTCACTTTCACCCGAATCGCCAGGGTTGAGAAATAGAAAGATATTTTGGTTTGCTTCTTTTAACTTAAGAATATATACATTCTCCATCAGTTGTTTTTAAGTAAAAAAGTGTAAATTTTTTTTCTCGATCTTGACCAATGATCCTTTCTTTTGTTTGACTTATTTTGCAGGTCACTTTATTATTGATTGATCTGAGTCCTTCTGCTATAGAAGAGGAGGAGCTATGGAATGGGATCCGGTACTACTTTTACTGCTTGAATTCAGATTATACTTTTGAGAAAACTTGCCCTTGATGATTGGGTTATTTGAAAATGCATATCTTAAATATAGAAACCGTTGGTATCAAAATCTTAGAATACTTTCTCTTAATAAGAAGGATACACAGTTTTCAATGATTGTAGAAAATGTAATGGTCGTTGTTTGAAATTGATCTAAGATTTTCTTTCTATATATATAGAACAAGAATCCAGGAAAAGCTCCTATTGGAGGGAAACATAGTAGAAAAAATCAAAAGGTGCAAGCCAAAGCAAATGTTGAATCGAAGAAAAGAGCTGAAGCGGAGACATCGTCTCAAGCTACCAAGAAACCGACTTTCCAAGAGGTAGAATGGTTAACTTTAAATATAGAGTCAAGTTTTCTCTATTTCTTAAGATAAAACAGTAACATTTCGCATGATAAAACTTAATTAGGGCAATAACAGTAACAATTTATTAGTAGATTGTGAGAGAATCATAGTCATTATCGATAAGAATGCGACATCTTTTGACCTAGTCTTTTCTATTTTCTTTCTTTTTTTTCTTAAGGATGCTGAACCTTTAATACTTTGAGTTATCTATAATAATTGATTCCTAGTAGTTTGGATTGCTAATTATCAAAAAGTCTTAACGATTACTATATATCAATCAACTAGATATATATATAAATCACAAATAGTCTTGAATTTTATTATAACCTTTATAGCATAAGAAATGGAGTAGAGTATCAATCAACGAGATAAACTTTGTGGAGCCTCAAATCTTTAACAACTTTTAAGAGATTATCATTTTCTTCTAATCCTTAAATCTGTTAGTGTCATTACTCTTATAAATGAACGAATATAACTGGAAATGGAATAAGCTGGCCAAATTCAAAAAAATAAACATATGTGAGGACTAATTCCACAATCAAAGTAACTGGAGATAGTAACTAAATACATTTAAATCCGGGTAAGAATACCCAATCGTCTTTTAACGTGATAAATATTGCAAATTCCTTAATAACTTCGTCTACTAAATTTGTTAAAGCAGGCTAAACAACAATCCTTATGAAATTCTTCAACTACTCTATTCCATCACCTTGTCTGCCTCTTTCAATTGATCTCCTCGACTACCTTTTTCAATTGAGCTCCTCCATACCTTCAACTAGCACATTGACCAAAAAAAACAGCAAAATCAGATGTTAATTATAACTTTTTAGGCTTATCAAGCGAACCATAACCAGTATACTTCACCATCTATATGCACCATTTACGAGATAACAATCAGAGTGATCAATCTAACAAGTATAGAAACTACATTCTTTTATACTCCACAAAATGAAGCTAAGCAGAACAGTCTCACAAATAAGATTCCATGTCGAGAAGACAAAACCAGAAGATGTGTCAGCCAAACCCTAGAAGAAGATATAATCAAGTAAAGTGATGGTTTCTTCACTGAATGGTGTCTCTGTTCCACTGATTTAATATAAAAGAGTGAAGCACGAAGAAAAAGCTAGAAAATTCAAGGAAAAACATGTTGAAATCTGAATAGGAGAGGTGAAAAAGATTATATAATCAAGTAAAGTCTGGTTTCTCACTGAAGGGTGTCTCTGTTGTTCTAGTCATTTAATTTGCACGGAGAAAGTTGACAAAAATAAAAATAAAATACAAAACTATACATGTTGAAATCTGAATAGGAGAGGTGGCAAATATCACCCAATTTAGGTGGAGAAGTAGGTCTGCAAAGGATGGGATAAGTCTTGCCGCCTGCAGCCCAATCCACCTTAGCTTGATACTCCACTAGAGGTGCATCAAGAGAATCATACTCTCTTGCAGCAAAAGTGATGTAGTACGTTGTGATGCCCCCTGGGTTGAAATTAGCCCTCAAAACATGCTCCAACTTCACATTAAATCCCTGGAAACAAGAGACAAGAATGGGTCATATACTCATATTACCTAGGAGGACTCTGAAAGAAAACCCAAAGTAGAGAGAGATGTTGTTACCTTGTGTTTGTTATATTTGTCAAGACAAAGAGATGCCATGTTTGCTAGAAACTGACGAACTGTCACACCTGTACTACGCATCTTTTTATCCAGACCAGGGACTGTAGCAATTCCACCCCAGAGGTAAGGTGGGAATTCCTTAGTTGCCTGAAAAAAACCCTAAAGCCAAAAAAACCTACTATGTTACTTACTCGATACGTATAGAGATGAAAAAAAAGGATGATAGATAGATACCTTGGTTTCGATGACCGTGCGCTTGTAAAAACGGGCCCTCTTCTCAAGGTCCTTGTCGATATACTCTCTCTCATCATCAGAAGAATGATACTCCCGGCCATCGAAGCTATCCTTATCCCATTCGGGATCACTATCACTATCCTTATCCTCCTCATCTATGACATCCTCGTCGTCCACACCTTCTTCGTTTTCACCGGGATCCTCCAGGTTGGTGGCTTCGACCTTACGCTTCCCCAGCAAAGAAGAGTCATCGCCCGTGGATATTTCCATGGCCTCCGCCGATTGGGTTTCGCTTGAAGATCCATCCTTGGTCTCGCTCTCGCTTGGTTTGGGAGCCATCTCGAACCCTAGATTCTCCTAAAATATTGGGAAACAGCTCAGCAATTTTTGTAAGCACAAAGGTGACCACTCATATAGACTACACGATAGGGTTTTTGGCTATTAATTTTGTTTTAAAGGCTCAGTACTGTCACATGATATGAGGTCACTCAGTCATAATAAGTCTCATAACTCAGAAGTCACAGTGCAAATAAATACGGAAGATAGACAACCTTTCGTGAGAAGAAATTGTACGTAACTTTAGTAATGTTTAACAAATTAATTTTTTTGCTTAGCTATTTTTTTTTTTAACAGACCATTTATCAAAGTGGGCCTCTCAAATTTGGGCTTGGGCTACGAAACAAATACAACAAATAGTACTACGGTACAAAAATTAAATCGGAAAAAACTATTGTAGCGCATACTAATGAATTGCAGCGATAATAAACAAATTAACAAAGATAAATTATGTAAAAGTACCTTCGCTTTATATACGATATGATAATTGTATCACTTTGAACTTTATATACATATATAAAACAAAGCATTTTCTAAATATGTATTTCTTATTACTTATTAGTGAGATTTTGGTTAACCATGATATTTTGGAAAATATACATGAGCAAGGATTGGGGAAAATAAACAATACATGTGAAACCTTATAACACACAATGAATTGGGCTTGGTCTACAAAACATGGGATAAGTCTTGTTGGTTACAGACCATGCGGCCTTAGCTTGATACTCCACTAAAGGTGCATCTGGAAACTCAAACTCTCTTGCAGCAAATGAGGCAACGCCGGTAGAAGTTTCAATGGGTTCCTTCAGTTCTGGATCGCTCGAAGATCCATCTTTCATCTCGATGTTGCTTGATTTTGGAGCCATGTCGATTATCGAACAAACCCTATATTCTCCCTTCAAGCCAATTTGATACTTTCTGAGAAGAGGACACAACTTTTCTGTCCGCGTAATTAAGAAAAGATTAAAGTATAAATGGTTAATTTGTAGTATTATTGAAATTGCAATTGCAGTTGATCAAACCAAAGACCCTAGGTCAACCCACTTTTTTGGCCTTTTGGAATGGTTTGATTTACTCCTCTTCTCACTTTTTTTTCGTCGTGATTAATTTGTGTATTTATTTTTCTTTCTCGTGCCTATTCAATATACAATCAATTATCCAACAAAAAAATCGTTTCATCTGAGTTCAGAAGTTTTTCATCAATTCAACGTTTTTTTCCTCCATCAGTCTTATATGTACACGTGGCTTGCTTTATTGGCTAATTATTTTTCTGAGGCCTTCAGAAAACTCATTTAATAGAAAAGAATCCTGTATTAAATTTTTTTTGAAAAAGTCTTTGAATCCTGTATTAAATTTGAGATATAATCTTATCATTGTGAGTTTTTGTAGTATCGGACTATCGGTGAATACATGTTAACATATCTTAAAATTTGATTTTATTCCATAAACATTTTTGGGAAATACAGTACCGCGTACCATATATAGTTAGTGTGGTCAAACTCAAATGTATTAGTATTAACTCTTAAGATTTTCTGGTCAAACCCAAAACGTACATTCCTTTGTTTTGTTAAAATCCCATAACGTACATTGCATTATAAAAAAAGCGATGAATATTACTTTAGCTTCATCATTAAAAGCAAAATACACTGTAACAGTTTTCTTTGGAGGATGAAGAACGTTTCCTTTCAACTTTTGTTATTGGTTTCTCTTCTTGTTCTTGTCTTTCGTAAGTAAATTTACTTCCCAGTCTGTAGTTTTCATTTAGTAGTTTAATACCTGAATGATGGAAAATCATATCTATATGCAATTTGAAAATAAGAAAATGAAAGTTGATGCAATTTTGAACATATAAATCGGAAGGATATTTTTATAGAGAGGAGGATGAGCCTGGAAAATTAATATGTGAAACCAATCGATAGAAATTAATTTTATGCAGTATATTTTATGACAAATTATGTTGGACTAACATATGTTATAATCACATTTGAAGGACATGATCTTGTGGAAGGTAGGACAATGCATACAAATAGAGGCAGTGGGGATTATCACGATCATCCTTGCAATCCAAGCGATCCAAAGTGCGACAAACCTTGTAATCCAGAGAATCCAAATTGCAGAATGAAACAAGGTGTCATTGAGCCAAATAGAGGCAATGGGTATCTGCACGATGATCCTCCTTGCAATCCAAATGATCCAAAGTGCGACAAACCTTGTGATCCAGAGAATCCAAATTGCTGAAAGAAATAAGGCGTTGATGGGACAAGAAGCAGAAATGGTAGCTATGGGAATTTAAATGATAAGATATGTGAATGCCTTATAAAACGTATTTAATGAATAAAACGTGTTTTCTCCAAATATTTTGATCAATATGATCTATATATATAGCCAGAAAATTCTGGTGTATATGCAATGCCCCAGAAAAGCATAACTATTAATGAATAAAACGTGTTTGTTATATTGTTCAAGACAAAGAGATGTCATGTTTGCTAGGAACTGACCAACTGTCAAAAGTTTTGTCAATCAACGTAACCAGATTATAAACTTAAGAAGTTTATTTGTGAAGCCTTAAAGATGTTTTCATTTTCTAACCCATAAAATCTATTGGATTGGTAGACATTATAATTATGTACATGAACGAATATGAAATGGACATGGAAACATGCTATATAGTGAAATTCAGAAAAATAAACATATGTTTAGACATAGACAATCTACAGTTGATTGGAGATACTAACTAAATAGTTTTAAATCCGGGTAATACACAATCATCTTTTAAAGTCTATTACATTCGTTAGAGCAGACTAAACAACAATCCTTATGAAATTCTTCAACTGCTCTCTTCCATCACCTTGGCTACCTCTTTCAATTGATCTCCTCCATCACCTTCAACTAGCACATTGACAAGGGAATAACAAAAACAGAGCAAAATCAGATGGTAATTGTATCTTTTTAGGCTTATTTATAAAGCTAACCATAGCCAGCATACTTCACCATCTCTATGTACCATTGCCACTATCTACGAGATAGCAAACAGAGTGGTTAAGTTCTCATCTAACCAAGTCTAGAAATCACTTTTTCTTCAGACCCCACTTTAATGCTAAGAATGTCATTCGAGAAGACAAAACAAGAAGATGTGTCAACAGTGCAGCCAAACCATACATTTAGAATGCATATAATCAAGTAAAGTGTGGTTTCTTCACCGAATAGTGTCTCTGTTCTAGTCATTTAATTTACAAGAGTGAAGCACGAAGAAAAAGCTATAGAGAATTCTGGAAAAAATAACAAAACATGTTGAAATCTGAATAGGAGAGGTGACAAATATACCCATTTTTGGTGGAGAAGTGGGTCTGCAAAGGATGGGGTAAGTTTTGCCTGCAGACCAAACTACCTTAGCTTGATACTCCACTAGAGGTGCATCAGGAGAATCAGACTCTCTTGCAACAAATGTGATGTAGTACGTTGTCCTGCCCCCTGGGTCAAAATTAGCCCTCAAAACATGGTCCAACTTCACATTAAATCCCTGGAAACAATAGCAAGAATGGATCATCTCATATTACCTAGGACTTTGAAAAGCCAAACTACAGATGCATGTTACTGTACCTTATGTTTGTTACATTTTTCAAGACATACAGATGTCATGTTTGCTAGGAACTGACGGACGGTCAAACCTTCCTCAAGGTCATCGTCCAGACCCGGGACTGTAGCAATTCCAGCCCAGAGGTAAGGTAGGAATTCGTCAGTTGCCTCAAAAAAACCCTAAACCAAACAAAAAAACTACAATGTTACTTGATTACATATATATGACCCTAATAAAGACTCACGATTGGGAGATTTAGTAAGATGAAAAAAGGATCATACTTTTGTTTCGATGACGGTGCGACGGTAAAAACGGGCCCTCCTCTCAAAGTCCTTGTCCTCATACTCTCTCTGATCATCAGAGGAATGATACTCCCGGCCATCGAAGCTATCCTTGTCCCATTCGGGCTCATCAGTAACTTCTTGATATTCATGGACCTTCTCATCACCGACACCACTTGTGTAACTTTCTTCGCTATCTCCATCGACTTCGACACTGTCATCATCTCCTTCCTTGTCTTCTCTTTCATCCTGAACGTGGCTGTCGATTGATTTGGTAACCATGTCGATTGTCGAGCAAACCCTAAACCCCTAGAGAAACATAACAAAAACAAAATTCTTTGACAATGAAATAACAATATATATTGTATCCAATCAGTAGAATCCAAGCTAGATTCTATATTCACGAATATATTAAATGCTAAACCCAAAGCATTTTAAACGTTAACACTCAATTTAAATTTTTTTTTAATATAATTTTTTTTTTTTTTGCAATTAACACTCAATTTAGTACACGATCATGTAAGTCATCCCGATATTGCAATGCATATATAGGTTTATTGCACATTATTACAGATAGCTGCAAATACCATAGAAAAAGAAAAAGAACTTAGAAAACTTTTGCTGATGGAAAACCAAATAAAAATTACAGAAAAAGTTAATATTAGTGGCAATGGAAAAGCTAATCAACATATATACGTGGACAGCTGTCCGGTCGTCTAACCGAATGATTTAATCGAATTTTAAAATAATGTCATGACGTCATAAAAAATAAACGTTGTCCATTAACGACGTTAAGGCCTGGGCAATCGGTTTTATCGGTTTGTTCGGTTCGATTTATTCGGTTTTTCGGGATTTTTGGTTTTTAAAATTTATGTCGAATTGAACCGAATAAAAATTCGGTTCGGTTCGGTCGGTACTCGGTTTGTTCGGTTCGGTTATAGGCCAAAAAATCAATTCCGAAATAAACCGAAATTTTTTCCAATTCGGTTAATTCGAACCGAATTAGACCAAAATCAAGATATATATTCCTAACGGTTAATTCGAACCGAATTAGACCAAAATCAATTCCTAACGTTAACTAACGTACATTGAAAATCGTTTAATAGCCGTGAAGTTTAAAAGTTATAAAAGAAAAACAACGAAAAACAAATATTAATACGAGTAATATTTAATTTAATTTTTTAAATAGCTATATGTACTCCTTCTTCTTTCCGGCTCAAGATCCCGCCATTTCAACTTTTCTACAGAGACGAGAAAATTTTAGGGGATGAGACAGAGAATTGCTCTCAAGACAGCGAAAATGGAGCTGAGACAGAGAATCTCGCTCAAGAGAGAACTAATCTTCGATTCTCAGGTTCGAATTCGTTTTTGTCAAGCTTCTATGCAAGCCTATCGGAATCGATTTTGCTTTTTTCTCATTCTCTACTCTGTTTAGATTATCAATTTTGATGATCGTCGGAATCAGATCGGAATTTTCTTTGTTCTGTTCAAAAACCTTCTGTAATTGGCATCGCAAACTTGGAATGATTCACGTTCTGCTTATGCTTTGGTCAGATCGAAGTTTCTTTGTTGAGTCAAATGTCTTTGGTGATTACGCTGTTTCTGGTAATGGGACTCGATTTAGAACAGAACGAACGATCGGAGAAGTAATTCAGACTATTATGTACATTATCCTGAGATTTTGAAGTCGAATCGGATGGTATAATTAAGCAAATGTGGTCTGAATTACGTTTCCGCAGACCGCTCGTTCTGTTCTTAGGAATCCTCTGGGGAGCGTTGATCATATGAGTCTGAAATTGCCAGAACTTGTTGATGCTTCAAAGATGAAATGGACATTGGAGTGTTACAGTGGTATCGACATTTTTCCCTTGTTCTTTTCTTACACAACGTTTGCTCTTGTCTGCAAATTTAACATTATATCTTATGGGATCTTTCTGAGCTAAAGAACAACCTCCATCTGCAACTTTTTACTGTGATCTCTACTTTTTAGTAACTTTTGGCAGTATATATATATGACCATCAAGAGTATGATACCGATTTTTAGTTCATTTTAAGTAGGATCCTGGACTGAATTGGATAAATTGTTCTCTGATTCAGCAGGTACGAAGAAGAGATACTGGTTTACTTACAAAGTTAAGCCAGATATACAGAATTTGTTGCTTGATAGGACAAAATTTCCAAGTAGCTTAATAGTGCAGCCTCCAAACTTCTACAAGTTGCTTGAAACCTTCCAATCATCTGATGCTGCAAGTAAAAGAGGCACAAGAGCTGTTGGATTTAGGAGCTATGTGGATCCGACCAAAGGTTAAGGCTAACCAGTTATCTTTTCTGAAATGCAGATAGTGTGACTCTTTTATTACATACTGACAAGTTTTGGATAGATCCATCAGGAGGTTTTTTGCAGTATAATCAGACTGGTGATCATGTAGAACTCACATTTTCAGTGGAAGAACTAAAGGTATAGAACTTCTCTATGACATCAAGCATTGGTTTAACTTTGACACACGTTTCTCTGTTCATATATTGAATCTGGAGAATCAAATTAAAAACAAATGACAGGCATTTCTTGCATTCTGCAAGGCCTGTGGAGCTGACCTTCATCTTTTTCTCGAAAAAGCTGGAGAGTAAGATTCACTTCTTCATTATCCTGTGGATTTTGTTTCATAATTAACCATGCTACTTCTTACTATGGTTCCTGTCTATGATGCATGTAATATTACTCACTCAACCCCATAATTGGTAAACTCTGTCTGATATGCCTCTGTATATGATTGACAGGCCAATACTGATGTCTCAAAATCTCTACATGGATGATGGGTCAAGTTCAAACTTTGACGTGATGCTCGTTCTTGCAACAAAGCTTGTGTCTCAGCTTCAGGATGCAGTAAAATCCATAGGCGCCTGCACCGCCGAGGAAGTCAGATCGCAGTTTCAAGAACGATCTAGGCAGAGTTCCTTTGAGAATCCATCTCTACTCAGAAGAGTTTGGTCTCAAATTTCAGGTAGTACTCAAATGTCTGTGATTTTCCAGGTTTCTTGTGTGAGAGGCTAACAGATTTCCATTGTAAAATGTAGATGGTGACTCTACTCTTCTCTGGGTAGATCGATTAATAGAATTTTTGAAGCTTACTCATTCAGGAGAATTTTCCGACTACACATCTTTTTTGAAGGAACTCGAGGTATAACATTCGAAGCCTGTTTTAACTTCCATGTTTGCAAACCCTGATTTTGATCTGTGAAAGTAACTTGCGAGAACTCTGCAGTTGCATCTGTTATAGTTGTTAGATTTGTCTGTTAGCTATTGAAACCTTGTTTGCCATATGTCAGATCATGTTCAATGGACAAGCATGAGGAAGCTAAATATATGTCGCATTACTTATTATATATTGGATAATTACAAGTAGCCATGATCACTAATCTTATGAGTACAATGTGTATATATTAAAGGTCGAACATGGAGATGCCAAGATCGGAGGAAAAAAGAAGAAACAGAACCGACAAGCTCAGTCTAAGAAGGACGTCCAAGCTATAGAGAAAGCTCAAGCTCCACAACAATCTCAAAGTAGCGAAGAAGAAGAGAGCGTTCATGAGGTAAAACGATTTGTATTTTTCCTTAAAACCTTAGGTA